TGTATATATATATATATATATATATATATATATAATATATAGCAATACTTTAATAGTTACTTGAAAAAGTACTCTGATTGCGTAACTCTTGTAATGTGTGACCACCAACTCTGCCCCTAACATTATACTTTTTGGTTGTGGCCTGAACATGTTTTCCTGACATTCACCTGCAGACCCCCGCCAATCCGATTTAACAATAGTCAGAAACGAGCAGTGATGAACACACACATCCTGCTCTATAACTCTTATCGCACTCACAAGCAAACACTTGCCTTTTATCTAAACCCTGACATTCCTCGAGTGACTCGCAGCCCCGTTCTTTACAAACACTGTGTGTGTGGGTGTGTGTTATGAGTGCCCATCAAGCCACACTGCTCCTGACTGACTGACTGAAGGCATTTCTGCTATGCTGCATGAGCACAACTGAATCACAACACACTCTGTGTCCTTTAGTAATCCAGAGAAAGGCTGAGGCCAAAATTCACAAAAGACCAGCACAAAACTGTCAGCATGAGATGAACTGTCTCTACGATTAGGAACAGGGCTCAGTTTATAAGCAAACAAAGGCGGCAAACAATTCCCATAGACTTAGAATGAAGGAAGGACCCGAGCCGTATATAGAGGCCAGATTTGATGCTTTATAAAACATTCCAGTTTACATAAACGTGCTGGTTTGTGTGCGTTTTGATCACATCTGTACAGGACCTGCTTATATGAGATATATTTGGACATGGGACATTCCATAATGCATAAAATTCCCATAATTGAGGCAGTGGTTCCTCCTCCAGTGTGAACTCCTGCCCGAGCTTGTCTGCATGAAGGCAGAGGGAGGACAAGTTCAAGAAAAACACTCGTTTATAGACAGGAATTCAAAAACACAGTCATATCATAAAAAAACAACAACTTTCATGTACTTCTAAAAGTCTGAGTTTGATATGCCAAGTGGAAATACAATAACATTCACTTAAACTAAACTGCAAAAATGACTCTGAAATCATCATAATTATGACAATACAACTTTAAGCTCAATGACATATGACGCGGCCACATTTACATGTCCAATCCTAACGAGGAATTCAGTGACTCTGATAAACAACACTATAGCTACAATATAATGAGATGTTAGCGAATCACAACAGAGGTCATTTGCATATAAAAATCTTAAAAGTACAATAGCCAAAAACTGTCCATAACCTACAATGAAACGTCCATCTCCTGTTGTCTCTCACAACAAAATCCATCCACATATTTGTTTAGAGCTGTGAACAGTGCTTGATTTGTGCAGATTTCTCTCCGGATTCTGATTAAATGACTTTTCACTGAAGGAAGCAATATTATATTTTAGCCAGAAGCAACTGTTTAAAGTTAAAAATGTCTCAATGATGGATTTGTTTCTTACAAACATGTGTTCGTCTTCACAAGACATTAACTGATGGACTGGAGTGGATTACTTGTGGATTATTGTGATGTTTTTATCAGCTCTCGTTCTGACGGCACCCATTCACTGCAGAGCATCCATTGCTGAACAAGTGATGTAATGCTACATTTCTCCAAATCCGAAGAAAAAACAAACTCATCTACATCTTGGATAGTCTGGGGGTACGTGCATTTTCAGCAAATTTTCATTTTCGGGTGAACTATTCCTTTAAAACCTTTATATAAATGGCATCTCGGATTTAAACTTCAGTAGCCAAAATGCAAAATGATGTTTGAGTTGTGAAGTTTGGTTCATTTCCATGAGATGTTTCAAATGGTCCATTTCAATGAATCAGTTCAACAATTTGTTTGCATCACTCAAAAATATTCACAGAAGTCTGTGTGACATCAAAAATGTTAATATTGCTGTATATTATTATACTTTTGGAAAACGAGCTTTGGTTCTTTTTTAAACCAGAGCTTTACTATATTTGACTCGTAGTAGCAGTCAAATCTTACTGGCTAGAATGGCTCAAAAGCTATAGTTCTGAAAACACAGAGTCATACAGTATATACAACAACCTCACAGCACACTACATACTAAACATCTGACTTGAACACTAGCACGCTCAATAACACAACCAACACTACAGGTACACACACAAACACACCTGTACCTAGAGTAAAACACAGCCGCCTACCTCGGAGTTTCACACTCTGTGTAGCCATGGAGTCATAAACCAACAGATGATGGAGAAAAGCAAAGAGAGAACCAAACAAATGGTCCTGTCCAACTTCACATTCCTGTCTTCTCTACGCTCAGATATAGTAAAGAGTGACAGAGAAACAGAGCGAGAGAGCGAGCAGAGGGAGGGAGGGAGGTGGGCACTGGGCATGTATGTTGTGCTCCACTGGTAGAAGACACACACGTCTCTGTGGAATGGCATCCCAGCATGCATAAGAGTGAGAGCATGACCGACTCTGGTCATTTGCATATAAAAATCTTAAAAGTACAATAGCCAAAAACTGTCCATAACCTACAATGAAACGTCCATCTCCTGTTGTCTCTCACAACAAAATCCATCCACATATTTGTTTAGAGCTGTGAACAGTGCTTGATTTGTGCAGATTTCTCTCCGGATTCTGATTAAATGACTTTTCACTGAAGGAAGCAATATTATATTTTAGCCAGAAGCAACTGTTTAAAGTTAAAAATGTCTCAATGATGGATTTGTTTCTTACAAACATGTGTTCGTCTTCACAAGACATTAACTGATGGACTGGAGTGGATTACTTGTGGATTATTGTGATGTTTTTATCAGCTCTCGTTCTGACGGCACCCATTCACTGCAGAGCATCCATTGCTGAACAAGTGATGTAATGCTACATTTCTCCAAATCCGAAGAAAAAACAAACTCATCTACATCTTGGATAGTCTGGGGGTACGTGCATTTTCAGCAAATTTTCATTTTCGGGTGAACTATTCCTTTAAAACCTTTATATAAATGGCATCTCGGATTTAAACTTCAGTAGCCAAAATGCAAAATGATGTTTGAGTTGTGAAGTTTGGTTCATTTCCATGAGATGTTTCAAATGGTCCATTTCAATGAATCAGTTCAACAATTTGTTTGCATCACTCAAAAATATTCACAGAAGTCTGTGTGACATCAAAAATGTTAATATTGCTGTATATTATTATACTTTTGGAAAACGAGCTTTG